TTTTTTTTTTTTTTTTTTTTTTTTTTTTTTTTTTTTTTTTTTTTAATTTTCGTGTTCTCAATTATTATTTTAGTTCATCACCTCCTGACGTCTACCTTACTTCAGTTTGTTTTGCTGTAGGATTTTCCAAAACCATGGGCTGTCTCTATTTTCGTAATTAATATAATTATAAATATTATTTAAATATCCGTACCTTTTTTTTAAAAAAAAAAAATTAAAATAATAAATTTATGATGGGGAACAAAAAGAATAAAGTTCCATTCCTATATAAATTCTTTTCAACAGTAAATGTGAAACCCTAATTTTATCTCTTTTTCTTTTTAACATCAATTATTAAATAAAAAGAGAAAAAAATTAAAATGTTCTTAAATTTTTTTTTAAAATGTATAAATATATTAATAAAAAAAAATTAATTAAAATATTTTGAAAGCTGGGGTATTTTTAAGATAAAATATAACAAACCCTTTATCTAAAATTAACTATAACGCTATTTTTGAAATATTTTTATTTTTGTTAAGTAAATGAATATTATTAAAAAAAATTAAAAAATTTAAGAATTTTTTTTAAATAAAGTAAATTCACACACATTTTTTGTTAATTTAATTATTAGTATTAATAGTATCCTTTTGGGGGAGGGCACGTGGCATCAGATATTGCATGCCGGGGGGGCTTTCGCTTCTTTTTGCTCCACTAAAACACAAACAAATTCAATGGCTGATAAACTGACACGTGGAAGTCATTGGTACTGTGTCCTTGGGGGATATTCTAGTATTATCCCCAGCCATTTTTTGTGACATGAATGTGATTTTTTTAAAATCAAATATTTAAGATGGTGATAGCATTTGATTTATTCCCATTTATGGCATATTATATAATATAAAGTCATTTATGTAAATGTTACTATCGAATATCTTATTATATATTTTTCTTTTGTCTCCTTTTGTCTTGTGTCAATTTCTTTCCGATGTGATTTTTTTTTTTTTATATAAACTATATGTTAATTTAATCGACCACGTAGAGGACACTTGGAATATACTAATGTCGTAATTTTGAGACCATCCAAACATGTCGAAACATGTTTAGAAAAATCGATATTTATTTATGTCATCATAAAAAATTTGTTGTCCTATTCATTAGAAAAGTTCAATCACAGCTATAAGGAATATTTCGCTCATATCTCCATTTGATGTGAGTCTCAACGTCCTTGCTGGCACATCTCCGTGTTTGAGTCTAATATTATTTGTAACAGCTCAAACCCACTATCAGTAGATATTGTCTTTGGGCTTTCCCTTTCGGGCTTCCACTCAATATTTTTAAAATGAGTCTGCTATGAAGAGGTTTTTACACCCTTATAAAGAATGCTTCATTCCCCTCTCTAATCGATCACGGTTGGTAACTCAAACAACTCGAATGAAGTTCACAAC